GACCCTGCGCTCTGACCCCCAGCTTCTCTCCCTGTCTGTGTGTCTCATGGAGAGCAAGCTGGGGTCTGCGCAAAGACAAATTCCTAATGCAAGAAATTGTATAGGGCCCATAAAGTGATCTGATCTAGATGATTCCGGTTGCTAGGGCAGTACCCTACTGTAGAGTCTAGATGAGTGGGGAACCTTGTATAACCATAGGTTTCAGTATAAGATATGGGGGCACTTGATTATGTTGTGGGGAAACTGTAGCTAACTCTAGTACAATATGGTAACACAACATTCTGAATGAGCTCTTACTAATTCATGACTGCTGTACAATGTGTTGGGCCAAACATCATGTACGATTTTAATATTTCTGCTATGGGGCTGAAACCCCTGACAGGTAAGGTAATAGAACAGAATTGCTTTAACGTTGAAAGAAGAGTGTGAGTGATCCTCAAAGATACTGATGGGGTTGGCCTGTTCAGAATCAGCTTGGCCCCCTGAATCAGGACAAAAGTGCAGCTGTAGCCTGAGCAGAGTATAGCCAGCAGCCGAATCGCTGCAACGCACAGCTGGCAGCCCCACTGGAGCTCAGCGGGCGTGGGCCTGGCCAGTACCTGGATGGGAGACCTCCTGGGAAAAACTGAGGTTGTTGCTGGAGTGTTAGTGGGGCCAGCAGGGGGCGCTCACCCTGCGGGCTGTGCGGGTCCTAATGCCCCAGTATAGTGACGGGGACACAATACTGTTAAAAGGCGCTGTCATTCAGATAAAAGAAAACTGAGGTCCGGACTCTCTGTGGTCATTAAAATCCCAGGGCGTTTCTTGAAAAGTGTAGGGGTCTTACCCTGGTGTCCTGGCCAAATTTCCCATTGATCTTTATCAATCATGGCCTGCTAATAATCCTCATCTCTGAACTGGCTGCATCACTGTTCTCCTCCCCACTGAGAGCTGGTGTGTGGGGAGCGGATTGGCGCATCACCCAGGTGGGGGGGCTGCACATTGGTGGTGGAAGTGGGATCCCCATTACCTGTAAAGCGCTTTGAGTGGAGTGTCCAGAAAAGCCACTCACTATATAAGAAGGATTATGATTATTATTATATTGTAAGTGGAGAATAAAGAGACATGTGCTTAAAACTGAGAACATGATGTGATTCTGTACACAAAGGCTTGTGATAGTCTGGAACAAACACCCCCAACGGTTACCC